TCCCCTTCCCTCCCTCCTCACTTCTTCCTTCCTTCCTTCCTTCTTCTTCCCTTCCTCCCTCTGCCCCTCCCCCCCCTTCCCACCCTTCCTTCTCTATTTCTTTCACAGCCTCTAGGTTCACCATCTTAGAAAGTCCTTCCCATTTAGAGACAATAATAAACATTTCCTATTGTTGTGCTTCAAAAACATTGGTAACTACGGCAGAAGGAAGTTGGTACCTCTGAAACTGACCAGATAGAAGATCTCTGGTAAAAAACCACACAGAAAGGAGAGATTTCAACTTTTGAAGCCAGAAAACGGAGGTGCCGTCTGGGCAAAGACTGAGTAAGAAATCAAGGAGCTCCCAGCCCAGATCAGCCTGACTTCCCCAGTGAGGGGGCCCCGGGTTTTGTCCCAGCTACAGGCTCTGTCCCCTGAGGACCCAAGGCCCGTGATGCCAGCAGGGGCCGGCGTCTTCGTCTGTAACACGGGGCGCCGTTCCTGCCCCGCCGGGCCTGCCTTGCTGGGTTGCTGGGAGGAAGAACTCAGACCAACCGGCGAGACGAGGCCTCGAGGGCCTGGGGTGCTGGGGGCAGGCGCCCTCCCCGCATCCAGAATCAGCTCGTCCGGCCCCGCCGACGCCAACGGCGCCCCAGCCTCCACGGCGCCCTGGCCGGGCCCCCCGCGCCCCCGGACTGCCGAGACTCGCTGCTCTGAGGCGGACGTTCCTCCCGTGCGCGTCTCCTCGCCTCCATTCCTGCCGCCGCTGCCGTTTTTCTGCGTTCATCGTTTCCTGGTTCAGCACGTCTTCAGCGTGTGCCGGCCACGGCCCTTTCCTTCCAGACCCCAGCCCTCAGCCCGGGCCGTCCTCGGAGGGAGCCGACCGCACCCACTCGGGTCCCTGGAGCACAAACACCGAGGCGGGTGGGCGCCTGCCGTCGCACGGCACCCCCCTCCCGCTCGCAGGCCGCGGCGGCGGACGAACAGGACCCTGGTCTAGCCCCAGGGGCGTGGCTCGTATCACACTAGCCAATCACGTAAGTCCACGCCCCTTGCCGGTGATTGGCTGAGGAACGGGGGTGGGGCACAGCTCCAGCCAGTGAGACGTGGCGGGAAGACGGCGGCGGCAACGCTGGCTCCCGGGCGGCGGGCGTCGAGCCCTCGTCCGCGGCGGCGTGTCTGCGGGCGTGCGTGCGGCGCGTGCAGCCGTGACGGCGTTTGGGGACCGCGAGGGGACGCGCGCCGCGGCCGGCTGGCGACGGCAGAGAGAGACGGAAGGCCCGCCGTGCGGTCGTGCGGACCAGCGCGCCTGGGGCTGCCCCGCCTCGCCCGGCCGAGGACCCGGACGACGAGCGGTGGCACGTTCCGTGCGCGCTTCCGTCACGGCGGCCGCGGCAGCGCCCCTGCTGAAAACACCAGGGCGGCCTCTAGCGGCCGGACGGGGGCCTGGCCCGGGGCACGGCTGGTCGGCAAGCGTTTGCTGGCGTTAACTTGTGGGGGCTCCTCCTGAAGGCCTAGAGGAGGGGGCTCGGCACCGGCGGTGGGAGGAGGGGGGCGCGCCGCAACGACGCTCCTCCTCCCCGGCAAGCCCCCTCCTCCCCCCCCCCCCGATCCAACAGGCTGCGAGCCCCGCTGGGGGAGGGTCGGGCCGGGGTCGCGCTCGTGACACAAGGCAGGAGACCCCAGACCGCGCTGCGCCCCAGCAGGAGGAGGCAGCGGCGGCAGGGGCGGGGCCGCAGGGCGGGAGGGGGCAGGGGGGCAGGGGCGGGATGGACAAGAGCCCCGCAATCCTCCGCGGGAGCCTGTGCCGGGAGGTCTGGGACCGATGCCATGTGCTGGGCCAGGGGCGTCAGGAGGGGCGGCACGTGGGCAGCAGACGGGGGGGGGGGGCCGGACAGCCCTGATGCCCACCTCGACGCAGAGGCGGACGCGGAGCAACTGCCAGGCCTGGGCGATGGGCCTCCGGCTAAGCCCAAGCAGGCTCCGGAGTCTCCGGCGGAAGCAGGGGCGGGGGTGACCGTGGTGGGCGGAGCCTGCAGCAAGCACCTGGCAGGATTGGAACCCAGCAACGCTCGCCCAGGTAGGAGTCCTGGCGCCTCCCAGGTTCCCAGCGGCCCCGCCGCCACCAGAGGGCGGCCCTGGGCCCGCGCACCCGCCCCCCCCCCCCCCCCCCCCCCGGGGGCCTGGAGTCCGCGGGAAGTCGGCAGGGGGCGCCCGCACCTGCCTGCGGCCCCGAGCCCCGAGGCCCCCCAGGCCTGCCCGCGTTTGCGTCCTGCTTCCCCAGCCCGACAGCCCTGCCCAGACCCAGGGGCGCCCTGCGGCCCTGCGGGCGGTGACAGGTGCGCCCCTGCAGCTGTTCTGTTGCCATAGCAACACGGTAGCTCCCTGCCCCTGAGGCCACAGCAGCCCCCCATTCCTGAGCGTCCAGGAATTTGAGAGGAAATTGAGTGAATGCGATATTAGAGGTTCGACCGGAGGGCACTGTTCCCCTCCCTCCTCACCCACGCCTGCGCCCACCAGCCAGGAAGGTGCCCTTTCCTTTCTCCCTGCCAATTAGCAGCCGACGCCAGAAAGGCGTTCCCACTTCCTGTCAACACACAGACTTTTGGAGAAGAAAACGTTTACTTGAGGGTGGCCTGAAAATGTCACTGATGCTCCCTCACATGGCCTGGCCCGCCTGGGGGTCACGGTCACCCCGGCTGCCGTCACTAAACCCTGGAGACCGGCGGCTTACACAGCACAGGGCGATTTCTCCCAGTTCTGGGGGCGGGGAAGCCCAAGTCCCGCCCCCCCTCCCTTCCTTCCCTTCTTCCCTCTCTCCTTCCTTCTAACAAGGTTTTTGACCACCAGACACTATTCCATGTCCTGAGGATACAGCAGTAAACCAAACAGACAAAACTTCCCACACCATGCGTCTCTCTGGCTTCTGAAGAGACTGACGCTGGTGTGGACCGTTCCTGTCCGTGGGTGATGATCTGTCCTGGAGTGATGACGCCCTCCCCCCCGCCTCCCCACCCCCAAGCATGCTCAGTGCCTTTGGCGTCACCTTCCCTCTATTCACCCCTTCCTTCCCCCAGTGTCAATTTTACTTCCTCTTGGTTTTTATCAAATTTGCCGTGACATTTCGTCTGGGTGGTGTGAATATTAAAGCTCTTCATTTCTGGAAAAAAAATCCCCCATGCCATGAAGCTTACCTTTTAGTGGCAAAGGATAGGAAAATTGATAAGTAAGCAAGTGATTATAGCATCAGTGAATGATACGTACAATCAAAAAGGCACAAAGCAGGGGAGGATGGTAGGGGCGCCGGAGGGGGGTGGGGTTATATCTCTGAAAGATTCCTGCCAGCTCCCCACCCCCCTGGGAGACCGGACCCCTCGTCGGCAAGCTTTGGCTCGGGGATTCTGCCCACACCCCCAGCCTGTTCAGAGCCCTAGCATTTCCTTGACGCCTCCTCTCTTCTCTCCTTCCACGGGCTCAGACTTCGGTAACCACTTGATCGCAGCCCTGGCCTCCCCTTGCTCATCCTTATTACCCTTCGTGAGGACATTCCCCCTAATCAGAGCCTTGCACGTCTGATCCTGTCTCTGGTCCTTGGAGGGCCGGGAGCAGCACAGACCTGAAGGAGTTCGGGAGCGAGCCTTGGGGACTGCTGAGGGAAGAGTGCTCCAGGCTCAGGGAACAGAGGCTGCGGGGGTCCCGAGGTTGGGAGTGTGCTGGGTTGGTGTTGGATCTGGGATGTGATTTTACCCAATTCACTTGCAGGCAGTTAGCCTGTTGTCCATGGATGCTGGCAGGAGATACGAGCCTCACGGGTCAGAGACAAAGGACTTCAGTTCTCACGGTAAGGCGTTCCACGGGTCCAAACCAGACAACAGGGCCGTCCAGACTCGAGGGGAGGGGAGCCGCTCTCCTCCTCCTGCTGGGAGGACCCGAAAAGTCCTGTTGCAGAGGTGCTGGGTGCAGGGAGCAGAAACAGCCCCGCGGTAAGGGCAGGAGCCAGGCAGCTCTAGGGCCTGAGGGCTCAGAGAACATTCTCCCAGGGACCAATCAATCAGTGCCTCACGGGAGCCTGGTCTTCAGATGTCCCCAAGTCTTACCGAGAACCGACCACCCATCCCGCCGAGGGCCAGGGGCCACCGCCCTGTGGGTCCTGGAGAGAACCTAGCCGCCCCCTTCCGGGCCATCCTGAGAATCGAGGCTGGCACAGTAGTGCGCCTCCCATTTTCCTGCGTCCTGTTTGGTGATGGCGGGAAGAGGGGAGGGGTGGGGACAGCCTGGGAACAGTACAGCTCTCGCCTCCACCATAACCGCCCACTCCCCACCCCCACTCACTGCCACACTCACCCTGCCACCGGGGTCCAGATTGCCACCAAGTTAGGAAAAGCAATTTGCTCATGTGGAACGTGCCACCGGTGGAAGTTTCTCGTCATTAGCTAATTTGCTGTGCTTTGGCACAGCCCTTGTTATCTGTAACCATGGCAACAACGTAGCGTGAGTGCGCCTTTACTTTGGACTCTGGGAGCCCCAGCGTGGTCTATTTCTGTCCCCCCGCTTCCGGAGGCTGGGTGGGTCTGGAGGCGCAGGACGTGGAGGGCGGAAGCCGTCTTCCGGGGCCCCGGGGTCCCTACCTGCGAGGTGTGGGTCCGCGGACCGTCCCCGCAGCAGGAGCGCCCCGGCCAGTCCGCGGGAGGCGCCAGCCGGTGCGCGGGGAGGAGGCAGGGGTGTGCGGCTGCCGGCCCCGCTTTCTGCTAATTTGGGGCCTCGCTATATAATTATACTGTGAAATTCCCTGACTGAAGATAATTTTTTTTTAAATATCCTTCCCTGACTCCCACCTCTCATTGCCCGGAATCGTGAATGGGGAAAGTGGGTGTTTGCAATTCGGGCGGAGAGCGAGCGATGTTGTGCAGCCAGCGCCCCCTGAATTTCCTGGCACCGCCCCCGCGCTGGGCTTTGGAAGGAAGGAGTAGGCCCTTCCAGGATGCGAGGGTGTGGACTTCCGCCTCCCTGGGCCTTGGTTTTCCAATCTGTCAAGTGGGGAGGTGCGTTTCTTCCTTACCGGGTGGCGTGGAGAGGCGACAGGTTGTCCCTCTGACCACAGGGAGCGGGAGCGGAATGCGGGCTTTCTCCCTGGGCAGATGGTTCCCTGAGCCTCAGCTTCCCAGTCTCTAGGTGGGGTCAGCAGTGGGTGTCTCACGGGGTGCTGCAGGGTTAGGTGGGATGCTGCCCCCGAGCGCCTAGCATCGAGTCAGTGCTCCGTCAGTGGCATTTACTGTGATGGCTCCGGGAGGGATCCCCATCCTGTGGCACCCTGCAGGGACCCGGCGGGCGGCGGGCTGGGCCCCCAGGTCTGGGAGGTGTGGCCAGAGCTGGCGACGGCTGGGCCTGTCCGCTCCATGCAGGGCACTTCTCGCAGCTCCCCGGAGGCGGGCGCAGGTGCCACATCGATGAGCCATGCCCCTCTGATGCGCCTGACATTTCCTGCCTGCCTTTCCCGGCCTGACTGGGTCAGCGGCCACACTGAGTCACAGCCGCGGCCCCTGGCTGCCTGCCGCCCCAGGGCGCAGGGTGGAGGGAGCCGGCTCTGCAGGGTCCCCCTCCCGACATGGGGAGGGGCTGGCTCCTTCTCTCTATTCCTGTTTTCAAACTTTACAAGTCATTTCTTGTTTAACATGCTGATTGTTGTTATCCTAACGTCACGAGAACCCTTGGGATGCTTTGACCGGACTGACCGGCTGCACACGTCACTGCGTGTTTACTGCGACACAGGTGAAGGTCTGGAGGGAAGACAGCTGGACTTTAGCAGTTGTTATGGCTGGGGCGGCGGGCCGTGGGCTGGGGCATGGGCCGTGGGCTGGGGCGTGGGCCGTGGGCTGGGGCATGGGCCGTGGGCTGGGGCGGCGGGCTGTGGGCTGGGGTGGTGGGCAGAGTGGGGCAGGTCCATGGGTGGTGGGCTCAGGGCGGTGGGCTCAGGCATGCACTGCACAGACCAAATGGAGCATCAGGATCAGCAAAGGTATTAGATTCGGGTTGAATGAGTGCTCTTCTGTATTTTTAAAAAAAAACTTGAAACTATAAACAAGAGAGGTTGCTTTGGAACTGGCAGTGTTTTTCAAAATGAAAAAAAGACAAATGTCGAAGATGGTTTTCAGGAGGAGTCTCGTGTCCGTCTGTTTCTCCGGCGGTGTAGATAGGGTGTAGATGGGGTGTAGATGGGGTGTAGATGGGGCTGAGCTCCAGCACCCCTGTAACGCACGCTTCTGCCGTCATTCATCTGTGTCACGGACGTGGCTCCGCACCCCTGCCCCGGGTCCTGGCGGCAGTGGCCACGGTTCTGTGAGTGGGTGTCTCCTTCCCTCCCGCGAGTGGGACACACCCTGTGGCTCTGGGCACACCTGCCTCCTGCTGATCCCTCCCCCTCAGCCTGGTCAGGCTTCACGAAGCCCTTCGTGCCTGCTGCACCCGTGGCCTCTCTGTGGGTAAGATGCTCGGCAGCCCGGCCCCACTCCACAGAACATTCTGGAATGGTCTGGTGGGAAAGTCTCCTCTTGAACGGTGGGGGAGCAGTCTAGTCAGTGTGGACCCCTTTCAGGGGGGACAATGCTGTCCCCCAGACCCCAGATCTTCAGGGGTCTTTCAGGTGGACATCTGGGCATTTGCAAATGTTGGAGGAGGTGACGGAAAGCCCGCCTTCTGGCACTGCCGGTGCTGATGGTGCTGACGGGGGAGGATGCACGGCCACAGGCTCTTGCCGGCAGGGGAGCATCATGTGCTCACTTCCTCTGGGGTGGGGCTGGGGAGTCTCAGCGAAGGGGTTGAGTCCCAGCTCTGCCTGTGTGACCTCGAGTGAGTCACCTCACCTGTCTGAGCCTCTGTTTCCTCAGAATCCCACAGGTTCTGGTTTGGGACCCTCTATTTTGATTTAGGTCCATCATCCTCCCAGCTCTTGGGGGGCTCACCCGCTCTGGAGCCTCCCCACCCCCGCCGCCTGTCAGGTGGGCTCCAGAAGACGTCCTGACAGCCCTTTCTGGAGTCGGGTGGACTTGGCCCCATGCGGGGGGAGAGGTGACCTCTGTCCCGGGATGCTCCCCACTTTCCCTCCTTGGCCGCCTGGCTTGGTCGCTGTGGTCCTGCACGCACCGCCCCCTCGCCCCCCCAGGCCCTGCCCCGACTGAAACCCCGGGCCCCATAGGGCGATGAGGATGCAGTGAGCCACCGGTCCCCGGCCCAGCTCTGCCTGAGGCCGCACAGCATCGCCCCTTCCCGCGCTTCCCTTCCGCTCTCCGGACTGAGGGACTGAGGGAGCCTGGCCCCAGGAACGCACCCCCAGCAGGAGGGTGGCGGGCAGGTGGGGTGCTGTGGAGGCCACGTTTCCTCGGGGGTGCCTGGCCTGACAGCCCCTGTCGCCGCGAGTCACGTGCCCAGAGCTGCTCGGTGCTTTCTGTGTTAATTCATCTGACGACCTACAGAGTAGAGACTGATTATCCCCACTTTACAGACGGGAAGAGCGGGTTCGGAGGTGTCTGGGCAGTGGCCAGTGCAGGTGGCTCCCGCTCCCGCCTGAGCGGTCGCCGCCCCAGGTGCCCCGTCCCCTCCCGGGGACAAGGGCTCAGAGCCGCCACCTGGCTGTCCCGGGGGACCCACTCCTGCCCCGCCCGGGACCCCTCCCTATCCGGACCTGCTCTTTTCCCTCGTCCCATAAACTGCTTAATGAGACCACCGTCCACGTCCCTAACCTGTGAACGTGGGTGTCCTCTTAAACGGGGAGGAGGAGAGCCTTCTGGGCAGGGGACCAGGACGTGGGTCAGAGCACAGGGACGTGGGCGGCATCGATCGTAGGCACGTGGCTGAACTGCTTGGGGCTGGGAGGGTGTTTTGTGGGGCGGGGAGGTAAGCAGGGGCCACCCGAGGCTCCCAACCTATAGCCTATAGGCTCGTGGGGCCACTGAGAAGCTTAAGGCCGGGGTCCCACCCCAGAGGTTCTGACTGACTGGGTGGTAGCATTTTAAAGAGATTTCCAGTTGATTCTGACACCAAGTGGATAGCTGGTGATCTAGAAAATCACACGAGGAAACGAACTGCACGTCCGATAGATTAGTTACCTGTGGGTAAAATGAGACCTGCAGTCCACGAGCCACGTCTGGCGTTCAGTGGCCACCAGGCTGGACAGCACAGACCGCATTCCGCCGCCCCATCATCCAGAAAGTTCTAGTGGGAGTGGGCAGGATTGGCTCATCTTTAACTCCACCCGGATGGAAGCAGAAGCCGGTGAAGCATTTAAGTCCAGCCCCACGGGCAGGCTCAGCCTTGGAAAGATTTTGGGGCAAGGATAGAAATTGGCGGGTGTCCTCAGAGCTCGAGGTGAGGCCCCCTGGGCTTAGGGAGGACTTTCAATGCAGTGACATGTCCTTCTAAGGAGGCGGGAGGCAGAGACGCCCCCGTGAGAAGACAGAGGAGCAGAACGGAGACACGCCTGCCAGCCCAGGCGGGCCTGGCGCCACCGGACGCTGGGGGGCGGGAGGAAGGAGCATCGGCAGGGCCGCAGGGGAGCTCCCCTCCCCGCCTCCATCTCAGGCCTCCAGCCTCCAGCCCGAGTGCCTGTCCCTGCCGTTCGAAGCCTGCTGGTTATGGCGCGGTCAGGGCGGCCCAGGACCCCTGCACAGACCCCTGTGTTAAATGCTCAGTGGCCATTGCCTGGACACAGATTGCGCGTCACGCTTCCTGGGGTCCACTGTTTGGGCGGCAGAGGAAGACGGGAGACAGGAAGCCGTGTTGTCTCTGTCCCGTCAGCTTCTGCCGTCTGCCGGTTAGTGGAGGGAGGGCAGAGGGACACAGGACTCACCGGCCGCGGGCACCCGAGCAGCCCCCGACCTGGGGAGCGGCATCATGGCAGGTGGAGGTTTGCTGTAGCTCCAATGGCAACAACCGGTTGACACCTGACCCCTCCCAGGCGCCTGCCCTTTGCAGCCCTTTCCTGCGCCCCCGAGACCCCCACTGTCCCCGTGAAGCCCGTGTGCCTTCCCAGGGCTTTCAGATTTTCCATGGGGGAGGTCTTCAGCCCCAAGTATGGGCCCCCTTGGTGGTGGGCCTGCGGGCTTGGGGAGCCGGGGCAGGGTCTGTCTGTGCGCCCTCAGATTCAGGCGGCGGGCATCTGGGGTCCACTGGCGTCCGACTGGTGTCAGGAAGACAAAGGCTGGGGATGGGCAGCGAGGAAAGGCCTGAGCATGCATGTGTGGGGTGGAGAGGTGTCCCCGAGGGGCAGGGGCAGTGAAGGGGCCACTGGTGTGAGCCTGAGCGTGGGGCTGGGGCACCCACAGTTCTGCCTTCCATTTCTAGGGCTCCTCTGGAGAGACTGGGAGTCCAGAATAATTTCATCCCGGAGAACATCTGCCTCCTTTTTCTCTCTAAACATGATTTGAGCCTCCGTTTTCTCCTCTGTAACGTGAAGATTATCCCCTCGCACAGTGCTGGATGCAGGGAGAAGCTGATGAAATAGCACACGTGGGATTATGGTCAGCAACCACAGCCTCAGAGCGGGTGCTCGGCTAACAGGGCTGGTATCAGGTAGGTGCTCAGCTAACGCCTGCAGCTGGTTTGCTGAATGGGCGCGACCTGAAGTCAGGAAGCCTGCCCCTGCCTGCCGGCCGCCGCCCGGGATTTCTCCAGGTGGCCGGGGTGGAAAGGCCCGAGCGTGGCAGTCCTGGGCCGGAGGCGCTCTCAGAGCCCAGCGGGACACGGGCTCCCAAACCGCTTCCGCCACAGAATCCCCTGTTCAGATGAACAAAGCCCAGTAGAAGCCCAGTACGCAAACAGGTAAAAAGGGGCTGGTCGGTGGCAGCACGAGGTGAAGGGCTCAGAGACCCACCTCGATCACCTAGTTGGCGTTCAGGCCGGGGGGGGCAGCCCTGGCCCCCATCCTGTCCCCACGGAGCTGCTGTGAACCCAGCATTCCAGTGCGGAACCAGACTCAGAAGAGGAGCTGTCACACAGGAGGAAGCTAATTGCTCAGGAAACACAAGGAGCCTTTCGCTTTCTCTGGGCCTCAGTTTCCTCCTCTGTAATAGGAGGGACAGGTAGATGGATCACCCCCAGTTTGGAGGGCTTTTGGCTGGAGCTCCAGTAACACATGGTGCAAGCGCCACCTAGTGGCGAGAAGGGGCTATGGCAGCCAGGGCTGTTAGCAGGGGACGCCCCCTCCCATCCCCCTTCCCGCTAGGGCGATGCCTTGGGATGCAGGCGTTAAGAGGTGACCACTATCCCCCCCCCGCCCCCACTAGCCAGTCCCCCTCCCCTCTGAGGATCCCAGCATCTCCACCTACAACCCTGAGGGGCTGGGGCCAAGGCGGGCTCTCCACATGCGGTCCAGGGATCCGAGGCAGGGGATTCTGTGAAATCCCTGAAATTGTAAGAAAAGTGTGTGTGTGTGTGTGTGCGCACGCGCGTGTGAAGGTCTCAGCCCTGCTCTCTGAAGGGCTTACTTTCTTGGAGAGGTCTCCTGGGAGCCCTTGCTCTAGATGAACCACAAGGGCATCCAGAGCTCCTGAATTCTAGAAGCTTCCTCTAGAAGCTGGAGTGTGTGCACGTTCAAACAACCCAGAAGGCCCATGTTGCCAATGCATCCAGTCTGCCAGTGATGTGGGGAAAGACTGAGGAAGCCAAGGACAAATGAAAGGCAGTACCTGCTGGTGCTGGAGGAGACGCAGCTCAGCCCCCAGGCGTCTGAGGTTGGTGGCTGAGCTCAGTGCTGTGCAGACCTCCGCCAGCCGCGGAGGGGGATGCAGAGGGGGATGCAGGGGCTGGGGAGGAGGGGGAGGGGGCTGGGGAGGAGGGGAGGGGGCTGGGGAGGAGGGGGACGCGGGGGCTGAGCTCAGTGCTGTGCAGACCTCCACCAGCCGCGGCCGCTGTCTGGCACCCCCCTTCGGCTCACCCGGAGGCCTGCCTGCCCCAATGCCCCACTCTGGCCCTTCAGCAGGGCACCGGGCGGGGGGGGGGGGATTGAGGAGGAGGAGGGCCAGTCCAGTCTCCACTCTGGGCTGGCACCGTGCTCAGTATTTTACCGCAATGAGGGCACCCAGTCTTTGCACCGTGAGCACCTCAGGCGCGGCCTGGCCCCTGGCTGGCCTCCTCGTCAACCCCCTGGCCTGAAATTGCCCCCTGGCTCTGCTGTTTGGATGTCTCACTTCCTGGGGTGGTGATGGTGACCGAGCCTCTGACCCGGACGCTCCCCAGACCACACCCTGCTCTGCCCCGTCCACACCTTTCCTCTGCTCCCTCCAGGCCTGCGGGCCGGCCCTGCCTGCCCAACAGGCCGCACGTACTCGGGGGCAGGCCCTGGCCGGCTCTGCCCGCGGCCAGTCTCTGCTCCCAGCCCGGGCGGCCGCCGTTGCCCCCACGCACCTGTCGCCAGCCAGCCTTCTGCAGCCGGGCTTTCCTGGGCGTCTGGCAAACTCAGGCTTCCCTTCATACACAGGCTGGGGGACCGTCACGTGGACGCCCTCCACTCCCGCCTGGAGCAGGGCCTCCGTATTGACCTTCCACCGCCCCCGCGTTGATGTGACGAGGGCGAGGGGCGGTGGGGCCCCGGCAACGCCACTGTGAGAGCTCAGTGACTCTGACTCCCTGGAATCCGGGGTCCGGGATGCTCACTCCCTGCATGGGGAGCCCCACCCAGAGTCCAGGTGACCCCAACAGGGGGTGACTCAGAACACAGTGGGGCAGGTTTAGCCACTTCCAGAGGCCCAGAGGGCCTGGGTTCCAAAGAGCTTTCTGTGCAGGACACTGGCTGCACCTTCCAGGCTCAGTTTCCTCACAGTGGCCCTGCTTGCCCATTGGGAGAGGGGCCTCTCATGGGGCAAGGAAGGTGTTTCCCCTGGGTCTCAGCCTCGGCATGCCTGTCACCAAATCCTCCCCGGAGCACACGCAGCTTCCCGAGAACCCGCAGCTGTGGGCAGGCTGGGGGCAGCGTGCAGGCAGAAGCCGTAGTGCAAACAGGCGTGCGGAAGCAGCCAGCGTGTGCCGCAGATGCCCACCCACCGGGAGCCACGTGTGAACGTGCTTACAGGGCACCTAGCTTCTTAGCAGAAGGCAGTGGTTTCCGGCTGGGAGGTCAGGAGCTCTCGGGGCAGGGTGGCCTGGGGACGGGCAGTCTTCTAAGCTCCCAGGTGACCCGTGCCGTCTGAGAACCGCTGCTTGAAGGGCTGATGTCAGGGTGCCCGGTTGGATCCGTCTGGAGAGGCTGGGTCGTGCAGCAGCGGCTGATCCGTCCCGGGGTCGCTGCCGGGGCTTTGGCCACACTGCCTGTCCAGTGGCCACAGGGATGGCGCCCCGCAGTCCCACCAGGCTCTTCTGTGTTTGGGGCTGGAAGTGGCCGGTGTCACTCCCCTGCGCCCCTGCAGAGCTGGTCACGCAGCCCCCCCTCCCCATGGCCGGGCAGGGGCTGGGGTGTTGACCAGCAGCGCCTTCGAGTGCAGGCCCCCATCACCCGCTCGGGGCCCCAGAGCTGTCATTGTGGTCACTTTCTGGCTGCCACACATTCCACTGAGGTTTCCCAAAAATGGGTGTTTTTACTGTGGTCACTTTTGTGTCCAGCCTGTCATCGCAGGACTTGCGCGGCCTGGCGGGGACACCGACAAGCGGCGGCCCGAGTCCCTCTTGCCGCTTTTGTTTCATGACTGTCTTGGTTTTCTCCCCAGTGCATTTGTTTTCCCCCAAATTGCAAATAAAAAAATTGTTACAGAATTTGATTATGATTTTTATTGGGATTGGACTTCCTTATTTTATTTTTATTTAAAAATTTTTAATGTTCATTTGTTTTTATGAGCAGGGGAGGGGCAGAGAGAGAGGGAACACAGAATCCGAAGCAGCTCCAGACTCTGAGCCGTCAGCACAGAGCCCGATGTGGGGCTCGAACTCACAGACTGTGACATCATGACCTGAGCCGAAGTCGGACGCTTAACCGACTAGCCACCAGGTGCCCCAGGATTGGACTTCGTTATAATTTTATCTCTGCCTCAACAAAATGCTCTATAATTCTAATTATTAAAATCGTCTCTGCCTCAGTGTTTGTTAACACTGTTTTCTCATAAGTATTACATAGTTCTTACTAAATTTATTTTCAAGTATATAAAATATATATACACGTGCCCACCATGTGTGTGTCTATATACCTATATTTGTATAAAATGTGTACAGGATATTTTCCATTCACAATTCTAACTGCAATGTTTATTATGTGTAATGGTAACTGGCATTTTGGAGTAGAAATCATTATTATATTAAGAAAATATTCTTATCTCAGTTCACAGTCTACTCTTTTGTTAGTAGCAGTGCTGGATTTTACAAAGTAACGTTTTCCGTCCTCTAATATGATTATATACTTTCCCTTTTTGTTCTTTTCTTTTATGTCCTGTGTTTGTCCTGTTGATGTGACAGTAATGATTTTTCTAGCATTATACCTAATTCCAGAGGAATAAGAGCAGAAATGTTTGGCATGGTGTCTGACAGCCTTTAATGACTGAGTCTGAATGGACGTTTCCAGTCCCATGTCCCAACCCCCCCGTTAAAGACACAGAACTTTCTAGAACCTCTGTGCTACTCACTGTCTGAGGCTCAGGACCCTTATGTTTGGGATGGGGACCCCCAAGCACTGTGCAGAGCGAGGGTGACCAGACATCCCCTCGCCTGGGACAGTTCTGGTTTGCACCCGCTGCCCCGGGAACTCACCACCCTCAGACGTGCCATCGCCCGGGCCGGGCGGTGAGCTGTACAGTCGCCTTCTCCTAGACAATTGTCCCTGCTCTGAAAGCGTTGAATCCCTCCCTTCTGTGCTCCTGCGGCTTCCTGGGCACGCTGGCACTGTGGCATTTATGACACCGTACGCTGCCCCAGCCGTGCTGGGCTGGCGCCGCAGGTGCTCAGCACACTGGCCAGGGTGGTTGGTTGAATGAATCAATGAACGAATGACCTCCTTTTCAAAAACCAAGGTATATGCCCTCTGAGGGTCTCCGACGGGCAGCACTGGCCATGCAGGTGGCAGGGGTAGCCCGGACGGGGCTCCCGCGGGAGGCTGGGAAATTCCAACAGTGCTGGACCTGCCAGAGGAAGGGGCGGGGGCTGGGGAGGAGGGGGAGGGGGCCTGGACCTGCCAGAGGAAGGGGCGGGGGCTGGGGAGGAGGGGGGGGGGGCGGGGGGGGGGGGGGGTGGGCGGGAGGGGAGTGGGGGGGGGGCGGGGGGGGGGGGGGCGGGGGGGGGGGGGGGGGGGGGGGG